CTGTATATACAGTACTGTATGCCCCCTAGATCAATGCTCCAAGAATATTATTTTCAGTGAATAACCACAAGATGTCAGTGCAGAATCTTGACACTGAATTTCCTATCAGATGACACACAGTCATGTCCTTTAAAAATAGGCTTTACATAATCTCAGAATTTGAAATGAGTCAACATATTCAGTTCCCTTTGTAAGGATCGTTAAATGTCACAATGGAAAAGGTTTCTGATCTTGTGTGAGTAAATATTGTATTTATGGAATTTATACTTAAAATACTTTTCTTGTAAAAGAACAGGTGTCAGCTCTATACTTTTACCTTATAACACTTCATACCACTCATAAAAATACTTAAATTTCCCCAGTGTTACAGTGTTCAGGGTTCACTATTTACAATGACCAACAACACACTGCTTACACACAGGGAGCAGGTATAACACATTTCAGTAGTGTAACTACAGAATATCTTATTAGGTGTGGTTAGGGGCTCTGTAAAGCATGGTCACTGCACCAGAACAAAAGGGGAAATAATATACATTAACAATTAAGAAATATTTGTTTACAGAAAATTATATAAATATAGCTAGCAGCCATGTCACCTTGTAACTTACGATTGGCAATCCACTGAAGCTCAGCAGGTGAGAGCCTGGTCAGTACCTAGATGGGAGACCTCCTGTGAAAAACTAAGGTTGCCGCTGGAAGTGGTGTTAGTGGGGCCAGCAGGGGGCGCTCATGCTGCGGTCCATGTGGGTACTAAAGCCCCAGTATAGTGATGGGGACACTATACTGTAAAAATGCACCGTCCTTTGGATGAGACGTCCTGACTCTCTTTAGTCATTAAAAATCACAAGGCGTTTCTCGGAAAGAGTAGGGATGGAACTCCGGCTTCCTGGCCAAATTTCCCATTGGTCCTTACCAGTCATGGCTTCCTAATAATCCCCATCTATGAATTGGCTTCATTACTCCGTTCTGTTCTCCTGCCCACTAATAGCTGATGTGTGGTGAGCGTTCCGGCGCACTATGGCTGCTGTCGCATCATCCAGGTGGATGTTGCACAGTGGTGGAGGGGAGTCACTATTACCTGTAAAGCACTTTGAGTGCAGTGTCCAGAAAAGCGCTATATAAAGTAAGTGTAAGTTATTATTATTATAAAATTGCTTCTGTATTTATGTTGGTCAGTTTATTATTATTGCTTAATTATTATTATTAATATATCTTGTACGCATACAATGGGTTTTAAAACAGCTGCATTTATTAAGGAATTTAGAACATTATTTAATTATTTAATCAACTTCTGATATCAAGATGCTATTTTTTTCTGGTGTTATACTCTGCATTAACTACCATACTATCAATCTGCAATTGTATCATAAAAATAGAATTTGACATTAATTAATGTTTTATCTTTCTTTTCTCACATG